CACAGAGAAGGTCTGGATCTGTTGAACTTCATAGTTCAGCCCTCTGACGTCTCTGACTGGGTTCAGGTTTTGTTGAGCAGATTTACAAAAGAAAGTGTGGATGTGTTGAACCTGCTTCCTGGTTCAGAACTCTGTGGTCCAAGTGAAGCTCTCAGCTGCTGGACACCAGACGACTGCTGAGTGGTTCAGGCGACGGACTGCTCAACCCCTGTGCGCTACATGCGTGGGTTTGAATCCCATCCTCGTCAAGCTGACCAACTTCAAACATTCGTTCAGGATAAAATTTCATGTTGAGATGAAAGATGATGGGCAGCAAGCGTCAACCAGACTGGACCATGACGCTGAGCCTGAAGTCCACAGTATCCAGACCGTGGCCAACCACATCAGAGAAGTTTAGATGTTGTCAGATTGTCAGCGGACTGCTGCTGTGAGACCTGAGGGCCGCCAGCTCAGCGTGGAGAGGCAGCAGATCGACACGACCGTCTGCTGGACACGTTTTCTTGGAGAATCAGGATCTTTCATCTCAACATTAAATGGAACTAACCGCTCGGCCTCCTCGCCGGTTGTTCGTATCTGAATAGACGCCGCTGGAGCTCAGAGGGCGGGTCTGTGCTCCTGTCTGGAACACGATCAGAAGTCCAACACCTTCCTGCTTTTGGTTCTGATCTGGGTTCTGTGTTGCTGGACGTGAGTTTGTTACAGAAAGGTGAGTTAGCCTCAGCAGAACCATCAGCATCGATACGCCTGATCGCTGATCAATAATCTGAACATCCAGAGTAGGAACATTATTTCACCAGTTATTGATTGATTGATCAGAACTGATCGGTTCAGCCCGGTCTCTGCTGTTACCTTGGCGACCAAAGCGACGAAGTCCTTGAAGACCTTAAGCTCCTCCCCCTCCAGCGTGCTGTGCGTGGCCAGCTCCACCCTCAGCAGGTAGTGCAGCGCCGACTCCAGGTCCGCCAGGTACACCTTGGACCTGCAGACACACACGGTTCACTGCTGTGTTCAGGCTCTGGTTCTGGTTCCGGTCTGAGCCCCTCTCTCACCTGTCAAAGTCTCTCCAGGGCTCTGTCCTCTGTTTGTCCTGCAGCGCCCCCACCTGGCCGACACTGGAGCTGCTGCTGTCCGACTGCAACCTGCGCTGGACTCCAGGTAGCGTCTTCAGCAGGGAGGAGAAGAAGAACCGCAGCTTCTTCTCACTGCGAGGACAGAACCAGGTCCATCAGAACAAACCTCTGATTCACATTTTATTAAACAATCTTTGTTCATTTGCAGCAGAACATTGTTCCAGTGCAGCGTCTACTTTTGCTCTAAAGTCTATTTTTCAATGCAAAGCTGCATCACAGGATTACAGAACCAGGACGAGGAGAAAGCCTTAAATACTGAACATCGTGAGGAAACCCGGAGCAGAAGACTTCAGGAAGCTTTGTGCAACAGATTTTAAAGAAACTTTAACTTCAGTGAATCTGACAACAACATGCCGTCTGTGCCGTAGGAAGACGAACTCAGCAGTCTGTTACCTGCTGAACATCTCAGGAGAGACGTTTCCTACGCTCTGGGAAAAACATGGAGCCTGAAGAGGAAAACTGTGGCAGCAGCTCAAAGAGAAAGAACTGATGTGTCAGTTCCACTGGAGCTCCAACCTGCTCTGGAGCTTTACTGCAGCTCATCTTCAAACATGTGAGAAAAGCCACAGCAGCGTCGCGACAACGAGTCACAGGTTTCAGTGTTTGAACACAGTTTCTACAACCGGACCATAGTTTCAGGAAGAAGGAAGAACTGCTATGTGCACAGAAAGATCCACCAATCAGCAGACGTCTCCAGGGTGCTCTCACCTGTGCAGGTGTGAGTGCGTCCCGTTGGGCTGCAGCAGGTAGATGGAGGGGAAGGCGGAGATCTTCAGTGCGTCCAGCAGGGGGAGGTCTGAGCTCAGAGCCCTCTTCACCTGCACACCTGAGTACTGTAGCAGGTCCAGGATCACCTGATGAACACAAACAGGCTTATTCTGTGTTTGTGAGGACCTTCGCTGACATAAAGATGAAGGAGGTTTATGTTCTAAAATCCTCGTAACTGACAGATGAGACCAGGGAGGAACAGTGACGAGTATAAAATGACCAGATGTTTCTTCAGTCTGATGTTCTGCAGCAGCTTCAGTTCTGCTACAGAAGCAAATTTTAAATAATTTCCTTCACCGAGAGTCGGCTGCATGTCGTCATGAACCTCCTCAGAGTCTCTGTCATGGTCCCGGTGCTGCTAAACTCCCACAATGCTCTCTGCTGCCACCATGAGCTG